TGCATTGAATGTCCATTCATTAAATGTACCGACAAGACAACGGAGGAATTACTGAGCTAAGCAGTCATGTTTCTCTCTTGCAGGTTTTTATAACACTCCATGCTTTAATCTGTGTACTTCATCAAGTATAAAAGTTAATAGCCAGCTCATTATTTGTTACTTACACTCCAACATACATCTGCTTTTGGTCGCAATAGAACAAAGGTTGATACACAAGCCCTGGCAAGTCAGGAGAATTGTACTTTTTTGGAATTAAAAAGAGTGTCTCTCTTCGTAATTCCAAAATTAAAAAGAGAAAGAGTCTCTCTTTTTAATTCCTAAAAAGAGAGATGCTATGGTCTCTGTCCCCAAAGCTAAGGCATGATTTGTGATGTAAAGAAATACGTCGCAGAAGTACAAGTAAAATGAAAGTCAAGCACTACCTCTTCTCTGCCGTGTGGCAGAAATTAAACACACTCTTAAAAAAATAAAGACCTTAACACATGGATTTTAAGGACAAAGTAATAGCTGCCAATTATTTTTGTCTCCTCACACAAATCTCATTCTGCAAAAAGCAGAGGAGATAAAACGTGTTTGGTGTTTGTGAAAATCTACACATGTATCTATTTGATTTCAAATTTTTACAATGTTACTTCCAAACCCTGCAACCCCCACTCAACTATGATTGCATGAGCCCTGGGATCTGATGCAGAGCACATAGTTAATGCATAGCCACTGGGCTCATGCTATGATAGTGAACCATAGCTACGCCTAAGACTACTGACAGGATGAGAGGAAGACTGATGGTGATGATTATATTTGGTTTCTCAGATGCTTGTGATGCCTTGTGAAACTAGGACAGTTTTTTAAAGCTTCCTTTTTTTTTTTTTACTCCAGTGCTGTTTACACTAATGTGTGTCCCTAGAGGGTAAATAATAACCAAGAAAAAAGAATGGGTAGGCCAAGATTGCTTCCACTGCTATCAATAGAGTTTGGGCATGGTATACCACAAGGCATTTGTCTGTTATAGCACAATTGTAAATGTCTGGTATTATGATTCCCTACATGCTCCATGCTCTATGCTCCAAGAAATGAAGGTCAGGATTTACTGTTGCTTTCCATGTCTTTTATCCCTGCTCCTTTTTTTTCCTATCAGTTTTCATTGTTATTGATTGGCACTGATGCTGCACAGAAGTGACTGTTGAAAACTGAAAGAAAATTGCTTTTTAATTTCTAGGGAAAAGGTTATTTTCTGTTAACTTCAGATGACAATGGATGTTTGTTGTTAGTTTGTTAAAGAAAAGTAAATGCTAAATTTCATCATTCTATCTTTCACCTCTGTGATGGATAGAATGAAACAGATTGCACCCCACTGACTTCAATTTCAGTATATTACATCAACTTCAATTTTTCAACCAAAAAAGTAACTAGTAATAACTTTAAGACATATTGACACACTTTATTATCTATTTGTATATAAGAAATCTTTAATATTGCCATTCTTATCTGCTTTTCCCCCCCTAAAGCCAAGTTACTCTGCATGGAATATGATATGATAATCCGATGATATTGCTTTCTGGATTTACTGTCTGCTTAAGGTTTCACTCAAAAGTAATTGGTGTTATTTTCATTCTTGCTTTTAAAGAAACACTGTGCTAATCTTCTTTCTGTTTTTTTATTCAATATGCTGATAGAAATGTCAGAAATGAATGCAATGCACTCTGCGTGGCAATTGTGTGTGGTAATGACATACAAATATCAGTACAGACGGTTGGGAGTGTACAAAATAAGATAAGACAAGATAAGAATTTATATATATATATATATATATATATATATATATATATATATATATATATATATATATTATATATATATATATATATATATATATATATATATATATATATACATAGCTGAAAAATATTGACCTGAATCCAACAAATCAAAGAGAAATAGAAGACAAGAAAATGTTTTTGGGAAGCTTTTAAATAGATAACTCAACTAGGACCATTTGTTCCCATATCCCTCAGAAAAGACCCTACAGTGGCTTTGAGTCTGCACTGGATTTTTTAAATAATGTCACGCAACACTTGATAAAAAAAAAAAAAAGAAAAGAATGAGACATGACAGTATTAGATTGTGAAGGATTTGAACATGTTGACAATCTGCCAAAGTGAAAATATGATTAAATTATCCGTGACCCCTTACGATTTTGGCACTGCTGACAATTTTGGTAATATTTAACTGAACAAGAAAATAAATGAAACTGCAATTGTTTGTGAAAATTGGGTCTTCGCAAACTGTTTAAATGTTTTCCACATTTACTCTGATGCTTAAATGTAAAAAAATGAAGATCTCTGTGATCTGAGCAGATCAGTTGTTTCTTGAGAACTTCTTGCTGGGCAAATTTGTTGACCTTTACAAAACAAAATGATACAGCATTGTGGGTTTTTAGGTTAAGTGTTGTTAGAACTTTACTTTATTTTCAAAAATCCTTTTTTACATTTGTGACTTGTTTTTCAAATGGACTAAATCATTAATCTAACAACATAAAATTTTAGATTAATTTAAGCCCAAATTAGAGATAATTTTTTTTTTGTCTACGTGACAGCTGTAATTATATACAATGTTAAATCTTTATACAGCAACCATGCACTACACTCGAGTGTGCTTTATTAGATTCTTTTAAATTGAAATACAACATTTGAATTTGGTTAAACAGTCTGGCACTGTGTACTTCAAATCTTAAGTATTACATTTCTGCTATTCTTGTCATATTTTGCCCTAATAGCACAGAATAAAATCTCTTTACTTTTTTTGTATTATTTTGAGGCAATTCCTCTATTTTTTATCTTAAATAGTTACATTTACCGCCGAGATAAAACTGCACTCATGACTTTAGAAAAAGAAAACTATGATATGTTTTGTCATATCAACAATTCCATGTTGAAAAAAGAATGTCTTTACATTGACTGAGCTTATTAAAACAAGACCACAATTAATGTTTGATGTAGCTGAAACTGAAAAGATTTAGAGAAAGCACTGAAAATTTTACATTTTGATGTTATCCATTAGATGATCAGTTCATTTTTTTTAAAGTTATTTCACAACATTAGGTCATGTATGAATTAATCTGGAATGTGGAATTATGCATAGCCTCTTTCACGTTATTGGCCATCACTGTAATTTCCACAGGCAATAAAACAATCAGACTGTATCACCAAGTTCAAACTGTTACAATTGGTGTTAGCATAGAAGTAAGATTGATTGGCGACTGAACTGCGTAAAGATTTGTACGGGATCCATTTATGTTGTTTGTAAAGGTTCCATTTATGTCGTACACAAGTACTTCTAAAGGCATGAATCAAACTTCATGAAGCTCAGTGAACAAAAAGGTACATTGTAAGTGGCACTATAGAGAACACATTTGCTCTGTTTGTGTGCTTCTTTGAATCATTTGTTAGAATTATTGATCGCAGTAAATCTTGTGTGGAATTGTGGGATGACTGAGCAGATCAATGAAGTTGTGCTTACAGTATAGTGTCATATCTCATATGTCATCTTCTAGGGCTGGAATAGAGTACCCTAACCCTCAACTACTCCCCCAAGTGCAACCATCCTTACCTATTTTATCGTCTCTTCTCGCATCTCTCTCACATCGCCAACTGCACACCACCGTCAACTGGTGAGTGACGCCACAATGAATGCCTCTTTTGACTGCTACCTCTCACACAGAAGCACGTTAAATGCATCCCAGATGCAGTGACCCGAAGGTATGCATCCACAGGAGTTGAACAGTGTCATTGCTGTAATTCCACTCTCTCCTCCGGATATACCTTATCACTCAGATCTACAACTGCCATTATCAATCTTCCCCTGTGCAGCCTCTGCATCATTAGGTGAGAGTATTTCACTAAGAACTCTAACATCGTTTTCATTCCTGTCTTGTCCTCTCTTGCATTCCACTGCAAGTTGGCATAGTGCCAGGTTGTGCCATGTAGCGCAACAGTGCCACCTAAAGGTTCAGTACCACCACATGTCGAGCCTGACCTACAGACTCTGATCTCACAGCCTTCCACTTCTCTCCCTGCGGTTTCTCTCTCTCTCCTGTTTTTGTCCATGTGTGTTCCATTAGATTAGAACTGTGTGTTGTGTAGTGCTGCTTTATTAGCAGAAAAATTAATAAGGCTTTGATAAAAAGCAGCATGGATTACGTTGAAATTTGAGGCTCATTATTGGCTAATCCTTTTTGAATTGGATGTGTATCAAGTTCCAGACGAGCTTTACTCAGTTCGCTAGTGTGATTTGAGAGGAGGCATTTAATTCAAGCAGATGATGAGGCAAAGCTTACAGTGACATTCACAATACCACTGTAGCAGTCTAATTATTGACTATTGTTGCAGCAGCAGGTGTTGAAAAGGTTACAAAATCTTTAGTGATATTACAATACACATCAAAATAAAGAAACAAACGAAAAACATGAAAACACTGTTATGAGAAGAGAGGTGAAAAGTCTGCTTTTTTTCAAGTTGGCAGCATTTTTTGCTGTGATGATGACCGTTATCTGAGTAGATAGGCAAGAAAAAAATGTTTCTTTCACAAAGAACGGTGAATCACAATTATTGTTGTGTAGATACAGTTTGCCAGCTTTCTAAACTGGGTGCTGAAGAAAAAACGTAAGGCAAGAAAACTGCTTACCCACTTGCATTTTCTTAAATATTAATTCAGTAGTTTTAATATTAAAACATGTTGATAATTATCATCCCCAAATTACAATTCTGAGTCCATGATCAACTCCATTAATTAGGAGGTGGTCTTTCTTTCTCTCTTTCCTTGTTTCATTTTTTAATTTAGGTTGAGACACAGAGGAATTTGTTGTAGTTATAACTCTCCAGTACTGTTTTTCCTCTTTCTTCAGACTACCCAATAGTGGGTCCCTAATCTAGACTGGCACTTCAGCACTGTGGAACAGGGCAGTTATAGGCAGTACTTATAGACCAGTAAAAGTGCTCCTTTACCTGCTGTCTGGTGTGCATGGGCCCCTTCGTTTTGAACCCTCCTTGGGAGCTGCTCTCTGAGGCACTGAAGTGGTCGGAGCTCGTGGAGGATCTCTTGGAAAGGGTGTCACAGCCCCCAACAAATGTGTTATCCAATGGGAGTTCCTGGATCACGTGATGTTTCTTGACTGAGACAGGTGTGTCGGCCTTAAGGTGAAAGGCCGACTGCGGTGAGGCTGACTTGTAGTGCCGAGCCAAGTCGGGACTGCTTGGTTTGAAGGTGGTAGTAGGTGTGGCATTCCAATCAAAGCGTCCAATCCCTTGTTCTTCCAGCTCAGTGGGCAGACTGATGGTTCCGTTAATTGGTTCATGGGCAGGATCATCTGGTTTGTTCCCCTCGATGGTGACAAAGTTGAGCAAAGAGCTTTTTGGGGACTTTCTTTTCTTGCGCTTTTTCTTTTTGTTCTGCTTGTTTTCTGTGTTGGGTGACATCCACTCAGCCCCTTGCTTTTTTCTCTGTGCGGCTTTAAATCTGGATGCATGGCGACAGCGCAGCAGCACAGTCACAAAGATGACAATGATCACCACCAATGCGCCAGTGACAAAGGCTATCATTATGGTTAAATAGTCACCATTTTGATACGTTTCGCTACTTTCACCAATGTTTCTGTCTATCGGGGTCTCCATGGTGCGCCGGATGAGATCATAAATGAGTGTTGCGTTGCCCACAGTGTCATTGACATACAAAAATACAAGCACCAGAGTGTGGAGTGATTTGGGATATCCTAGGTCACTAATATTGACCACTAATCTGTGTAAGCCTATGTCAGTTATTGCAGGCTTTTCTTCCAGTGTAATGTTTCCAGTGACAGGGTCGATTCTGAATAAACCCTTGTTATTCCCGCTCACAATAGTGTATTTCAGTTCCGCATTCATCCCTGTGTCACCATCAACAGCAAACACCTCAGCTACCACAGATCCCGGGATAGAGGACAGAGGGACAAGCTTGAAAGAGGTGTTAGAGGGTGGATAGATGACAATTGGCGTGTTGTCGTTAACATCAATGACATTGATGGTCACCTTTGCGACTGAGGAGCAAGGAGGCCTGCCACTGTCCACAGCCTTAACATCAAAAGTATAGGAGCTCTGTTGCTCCCTGTCAAAAGACACATTAGATTTTATCACCCCAGAGTATGGATCTAGTATAAAGTTCTCATTGTCATTCAGAATAGAAAGAGAGACAGCAGCATTTTCTCCTGCATCTGAGTCTGTCACAGTTATCACCCCCACAGTGCTGTATTTAGGCAGATTCTCTGACACAAAGAACTGAAAGTGGTTATGTGTGAACTTAGGATTGTTATCATTTTCATCCAGCACAGTCACAATAACAGTTGCCTGTGTTTGCAAAGGGGGAGTTCCGTTATCTCTTGCCGTTACGGTGAAGAGGAATCTGTCCTGATCCTCCCTATCAAAAACCCTAGATGCAGTCAGGACCCCAGTTTTACGGTCCAGATCAAAAAATGATGCATTCGGTCCCAACTGATACACTATCTCTGCATTCTTCCCACTGTCCTCATCTGTAGCGGTAAGGGTGGTGAGGAACAGGTCGCGCTTGTTGTTTTCCATGACGGGCAGCTCGATGACTGGCTGAGTAAAAATAGGTGGGTTGTCATTCTCATCCTCCAGCCTCACTCTCACCAAGGCCGTCTGATTCAAACTCGGTTTTCCAGAATCTGAAGCGACAATTTTAAAGTTGTATTCCTTTGTCCCCTCGTAGTCAAGCAGAGCAGATGTTTCCAGCAGATACTGGTTGTCATACACAGCTTTCAGGTGGAAAGGTACATCCTTCTCTATAAAACAAATGACCTTGCCATTTATGTCAGTGTCTCTGTCTGAAACTGTGATGAGAGCGATCTTAGTATTGATGGGATCCTTTTCTGAGAGGAAAACAGTCCCATTAATGGGACTGATTATGTATCTCAGGTCTATATTAGGAGGATTGTCATTAACATCAGTCACATTTATAGTAACTGTAGCTCTGGCTGGACTTGAGCTGCCATCACTGGCTAAAACAGAAAGCTTGTGAATAGCAGTTTCCTCCCGGTCCAAAGGTCTCTGTACTGTAATTATGCCAGATGTTGTATTTAATGCAAAAAGTCTTTTAGTCGCAGGAGACACTTGAGTTCCAAATACATAATGTATGTCTGCATTTGCCCCAATGTCTGCATCCGTAGCCTGGAGTTGCACCACAGATGTGCCTATAGGGGAGTTCTCGGGTATATGCACCTCTATCTGACTCTCTTTGAACACTGGCTTGTTATCATTGACATCTGTTACAGTCACCTGAAGAATGGCAGTGCTGGATTTCTGTGGACTGCCACCATCCTCCACTTTAATCTTCATCACATAAGTATCCTTCTGTTCCCGGTCAAGATTCTGCTGCACAATAAGCTGGGGCCACTTCTCCCCCTCAGGCGTCTCCACAATGTCTAAACCGAAGGCACTTTGCCCATTGATCAGCTCGTATTTGTGGACACTGTTGGGGCCAGTGTCTGGGTCAGTGGCAGAAGGAATAGCAAAGCGGCTGTTAATGAGAGTGTTCTCTGGGATAGAGATGTTGATCACAGGGGACGGGAACATGGGGGCATTATCATTTGTGTCTTTGACGATTATTTTTATCTTAATCAGCCTGAAATAATCATTAGGCAGGATAACCACTTCAATTTCAAAGGAGCACTCGCTGTCCTCAAATGAGGGACCAGGGCACAACTTCTCTCTGTCAATTCGGTTTGATGTTGTGAATATCTCTCCAGTACTGCTCAGAACACGGACCAGTGGGTTGTCTCCAGCTTTGGAGACCAGCCGGTACACGAGATTTGCACTTGCTCCAGTGGCAGCATTTGTATGGGAAATGTTTAAGTCCTTTGGTATATTTCCAATAAGGACATTTTCTTGCAACTCCTCCCTGATGGGATAAATTAATTCTTGAGCTATTGAAGGATCAAGCCATATGCAGGCAAGCAGAGCAGCCAACAGGTAATAGTCTTTCAGATCCATAGCAATGTTAATTTCTCTTCAGGCTTTGTAGTTTAATTATTCACTTCTGTGCAGTGATGACCACGATGACAGTAATCTTCCAAGAAAATACCTATGAATACACGAGAGAGTTTCTCTTCAGTTAACTTTCTTTTGCATGCACAGTAATGACGTTTATTCTACAACCACTTTTCTAAAATAAAATTGCTTTCCTCACTGTTGTCTTTTCTGAGTGCGTAACATTACATTCAACTGCAAAAGTTCTGCAAAATATAATTCCAATATTCACAAAAATCAGCAAATTCTAAACTGCAGCAGTATCTGTTTTTTCCCCCCCTTTTGCAATTCCTCCTAATTTTATGCTCACCAAGAATCTTTCACCCCGAAGGCTGGAAAACTTCACAACACATTACACAGTCTTAATAATTTCTCACTTAAATTGGCAAAGTTAAAGAGCTTAAGCTGTGTGGGGGCTCCTAAACGAATGAATGAGCATGAATGAAGCCTACGAAGTAAGCTTAGTCAGATGTTGCATTCAGCGGGCATCTGAGACCTGTTCTTATCCTACATACATACCCCAAATCCGTTGCAGCAAAGAAGAAAAATTGGAGTGTGTCAGCTCATAGTCTTCTCATCCCTTGATGCCGTATGCGAGTTTATTCAGGTACAGAGATCCCTCTCTGCCTCTGTGGCGTTTTGTTCCAGAAAAGAGAGAGAGAGGGAGAAAAAAGCCCCTGTCGGAGTGATCAGACAGATGAATAGGTTTGATGTAAAAGCTGCAAAGCGCAAAAACTGGGGTTAATGTGAGGCTGCATAGCGAGTGTCGCAGTTCCTTTCTCCCAATTTAACTTCAGGAATGGACAGGGGATGACGGCGAGACCTGCGAGGATTGCGGTGATCAGCGTCGGTCCCCCGGCATACCCAGCAAGGTGATCAATGTTTTGTGATGCCTTTCACAAGTAGAGATCCAGAAAGAAAAAAAATAATAATCAATGGTGATCTCCCGTACACGTCCCGAGAAACCCGGCTTTCACACACACACACTTTGCTTATACCCGGCTACCTGTGAAGGTGAAGGTGCCGTTGAGGTGAACGCAGGAGGAGACACTCGTGTCCCGTCATGATTCAACTTCACGCAGCTCCATTAGTAATTGCACAAATGTTTGCACAAAACAGCAAAAGACAAAAATATATGTAGATGTTTTTTATATATATAAAAAAAGCAGAGGTGCAAAATCTGAGATTCAATCCCACTCGGAGATGTCAAGCAACACAAAAAGCCTCTACTGTGTTAAACACCGATACTCCGAGAGCGCACTGCCGCTTATCCTCGCAGTCTCACTCCCAGAGCAGAATATCTTGCACTAACTCTTTGTAAACCCATAGGAGGGGTGGTGAAGTATACCACTCCAATGCTCCCCCCCCCTCCCTCTCCAACCCCGCCGACCCTCGTCATTGGACACCGCCCATCTCTTTCAGCTGCGTTGTCAACCCAGAGCCGCGGCAGGATTGGTCCGCAGTCACGTCACTTAAATCGGTCCGGAGGGTCGTCGGCGACGAGTCGCTCGGAGAGGATGCTGCAGGCTGCAGGGAGACGCTTAACCAAAACCCGGAGGCTGGAGGGGGTTGATGATGAGGATGACGACGAGGATGATGAAGCTGGCAGTTCTACTGATGATAACGTCTAAATAATAAAAAAAGAAAAGAAAAGAAAAGAAAGCGGATATTCTTTCGCCTTTATATTATGTGTTAGATGAAGACAAACCTTACTGAGTGCCTTTAAAAGGGACTCATGGAAGCGCAAATGCCAACCTGTTTGCCTGTTGTCAGGTAGGCTGCAATAATTGGCGAGCCGCTTTGGAAAAAAAAAATTAATTAAAAAAAAGCACTCCGTAAATTTTGGCACAGCAAAATATTTAAATAAATAAACTGAAGCTTAGAAGAAAAGCTTTGTGTGAGAGTCTCCTATAACTGTGCTCCAGACAAAGAATCCGTTGTCTAAGCATCTTTGCGGTGAGGTGCATATTTGCGCTGCGCAGCTCTTCGCACCCCGCAGCCAGCCGTCAGCAATTGTCCGTCAGAAATAACCTTGACAGTTATCCTCTGTCATCAAAGCTGTGTGCAACACTGGATGGAGGCGCTTTGCGTTGTGGACACATTACACTTCTTCTTTGTTTTTTTTAAATAAGTTAATAAGTTGCGCAATTTGTGCTGATTTCGGACTGTTGTGATTTGGCTTTTGAAACAATCCTAATCACTGACTTTCAAGTTTCATAGGATGTATCTAGTGACTAACCCATAAAACGGCATGTTAGTAATAACAGTAGTTAACCAAAATTAAAACAAAATATAAATTAGAATAAGCCATTGAGATACAGCCGTGATTTATTGTCGTCAACCTTCAGATTGTTGCTTAATGTCAGTTTAGTGCCTATAACTCTCAACTGAAGCCGCAGCTCTCTGCATGTGTTGCTTCTTCTGCTGCTGAGAAAGGCAGGATGTGTAGCAGAAGAGCAGTAGAGACTACTACGGTGAACACTGCCATCTTGAGGTGGACCTTCACATGCGCCCCTTAATCCAGAGTTGAGCTTCAAATCTCCCGTAACCTCACAGTTCTGAATCAAGATTTCACTTAAAGCTCTTGTGCACCCAGGAGAACAGCCTGCGTAACAGATTACACAGCGAGTGACTGGGTAAGGAGCAACGTGCAAAGGGCCAGAAAACAAAAGTGAGAATAAGCACCAATGTTGGTAAATGGCGATGGAAGCGATGCAAAGGACAAGGGAGCCACACCGCTGAGGTGAGAACTGGGCTGTGAATCTCTCCGGAGAGTGTGGCTTAGTGCCCGGTCAGCAGTCCATTAGCACAACCAGCCTAGTGGCCTGACCTTTCTGCCTCCATATTCAGCCATCAGTGTCCTTAGCTGGGAGAGAACAGCCAAAGGAGGGATCTGTCACTTTAGTTTAAAGTCTGACACCCTGATGTAGAGAGAAAAAGTGACAACATAACTGTCTTCATGGTGAAACAGTGTCTTGCTCTGGTGGCCAGCTGGAGTCATTAGTAACTCATCACCTGCTCTTACTTGCTCACTGGGAGTGTGCAAGTAAGAGCGTACATCTGTCTTGAGCTTTTCTGCATAACGGAAAATATATCCAACTAAGTGGAAATGTTCTAACCCTGCAGGTCTCTGAGGTGTTTTTGTGTGTTAGCGCAGGAATAATTGCTCAGTAATTGGGAACACAGGACATAGAGAACACTTTAAAAAAAAAAGTTATTCCTCCCACCTTCTGAAATAATAATTAAGACTCTTGTTATGATCACAAGCTCAAGTAATTTGATGCGTATGTATAACAGGTTCAACGGAAACATATATTTGTTATCGTCTGACGGGAGTGTCGAGTGTCAAATGACCCTTGTCTCAAACACCAGATGGAAATATGATAAGACACGGCACAGCTCCTGATTTTAAATTTAACATTTCACTCAATTTTTATCTTCCTTTTTTGGCAGATTGAATTTCCTCCAGCTAGTGTTTTAGCTAGTTATATTACTGACAAGCGCCAAATGATGCAGTGTTGTAATACAGGTATAAGTAACTGGGGATATATCTTCCTCCCACTGAAAAGACAGCTAAGGTAAGTGTCTACACCTAAGGCCTTATGATTCCTCATATACACGGTGCAGTCAATCACACCATTCACCTTGGTTTGATTCCAACACTGACTTATTGACTTGTCCAAGCTGCTGGATTGACCTCATGAATAACGCAAGTACAAATATGTTTATCTTTCATGTCCATTAAAGCACAAGGTCAAATAGGTAATTTATGTACGTACTAAATAAAACAAGGTCTTGCAAGTAAAAGTCAGAAAATATAAATTGTTGGTGTCGAAGTGTCTCTCATGATAGAAAAAGGGGACAAAAAATTTTGCTAAAAATTGCAACTTTTTAAAAAAATTTTACATTAGTAGCTGAAACCAGATATTTGCATTTACTGCATGTTTTTTGTCTTGTCACATTGAATCAGACTAGACATTTTCTGTTTTAGGTCAGTTAGTGTTATTCAAGTAAATATATTTGCTCAATACCAGAAAAATAAAGATTCTTCAAGTTAACTGTCTGACTTTCTTTAAAGTCAGAAGCTTACCTGCATTAAAATCACTACGCCTCTAATACATTTGACAAAGTAAAACAGTGGATCTGTTTTAAAGCAATGCCTCAAACACGTCTGCTTTGGGCGTCACCGTGGAAACATAATAAATACGGTAAGATATTCGGTAGAGCGTTGACAACCTATATAAGTCTGGGTCATATTTGGGTACAATTCTCAGATGCCTTAAATTGCCCTGTTTATCTATTTAACAATAGGCGCCATTGCAACGTCCAGCCATTCTGCTCATCGAAAAGACAACGGGCTCTGTGTCCCAGAGATGAAAGTCTTCTGGTGTGAAATCTACACAACAGCCCCAGAACAAAGGAAAAAGTCTTTGTGAAGATGCTGGCTGAAGCTGATAAGAGTCGTTCATGATCACAGTAAGATGAGTCCTGAACTCACAAGGGCCAGAGGGCCTCTCCATGGGTTAGTGGCCATTTCTCCAAAAGCAACATAAAAAGAAAGATTAGATTACAATTGCCAAATGCCCTCAAGGACAAAGACTGTAACGTTTGGACACAAATTTTGTGATCTGATGACAGTAAAGTTGAAGTATTTTTCCATAATGACCGTCATCACATTTGGAAGAAAACCAAAGTCTGTGAATACCATTCTGGCCATGAAGTACAGGGCTGATAGTATCATGCTTTGTGGATGTTTTATTCCTGGAAGAATGGCTATGCTTCAGAAAAAATATATATCCTTTGAGAAACAACATCGGAGGAACACCTCAAACCATTGCCCAAAGGACGAAAGCTTTGTCACAAACAGGCCTTAGAAACTGACATGACTCTGAGCATTCTACCAAATTATTTAGAAAGTGGTTTAAGAAAACCACATCACTGGTTTAAGGACGCCACAAAGCCCTGATCTCAATCTCATTAACTCATTGATAGCGGTTCTATCAGAAGAAATTTCCGAAAATTGCTGAAGTTTGTGGGAGGACACCCAGAACATTTATCCAAAGTCATGCTGTACAAGAGGCAATTCTACCAAAAAATTACTAAGGAAATGCATGCAGATTTTTTTTAATTTAAAGAAAATGTAAAAGAAATATCAAATCTAAATAATTGTGGTCATCCTTACTGAACTAAGACAAGAAATGTCAAGTTGTAATTCATGTCCAAGGGGAATAAAAAAGGGCCTTTTTAAAATGTCTTTTACAAACAAGAATACATAAAGTGTGCAAATACTTTACTTAGGAGGAAACCTTTCAAAAGCAGTGTTAACACTTTAAGAGAGAGAGTAAAAAATTCTAACATTTAGGATATACTCACAAAACATTTCTTTTTCTAAATGTTTGCTCAGAAGAATAAAAATGGCAATGCTTTAAGAGCAAAAATCATCTTACACTTGTTAAGCTCATTGAGGGTTTTCTTCGCTCTGCCTCACTAGCTGTGTGAGAAACGATAATTAGAGGCCATTTCAGCCTGTGTGAGCTGCTTGACTCGCCGTTCTTTCTTTATGCACAATATAGGTATTGTAAAAAGAAAGAAAGAAAAAAAAAGATTACACTTAATTTTTCCAGAACTGTAATTATGCAAATCCTTTGCAATTTCTAAGGTGAAACAAAATAACAACAAAATAAATGACAGTATCAGTAATGAATACTTATTTTTAATCTCCACTTCCCACCTCACTTCCTGTAATCAGCTGACTCAGAGAAAAAACATAATTTGGGCTATTATCACTTTAGCTGAATCCTGCTGATTTTTACATTGCGCCGCCTACCAACCAAGCAAACGAGCACAAAAAAAAAAAAAAAAAAATCGGGCTTCTAAAATAATTAAGTCCTTTGAGTAGTTTCACTCATTGTTGAAATCATACTTTTACAAAGTAGGTTTTACAATGTGTTGAGTTACATGTTGAGGTTCAAACACCACTTTCTTATAACATTTTGATATTTAGTTTATCATCTATTTTCAAAGCTCAACTTCCTCTAGTTAATTCTCTCCTGTTATAGTTTTCTTTTTCTAGCAGAGAATGTGAACTTCGCTTGTTTAGTGTTTTTGCGAAAAAAGCCTCGGCAACTTCCGATCAAAACACTTGCAGATTTCCTTAAAACCCTTTTGCCAGTGGGACTTAGAGCACTAATGACCCAGTGGATAATTGGCATCACACACCCTGCAGTCACTGAACACTAATCAGAACTTCCAATCAGACATTTCTGACTTGAAAGTTTAGAAACA